GTAGATCTAATAGGAAGGACTTTGTTTTAGTGTCAGAACACATTCATTAGTTTTCAAAGAAATTTTTTTTGCAATTTAAAGTGCATTTCAGCCTGTTAGGTATATTAATTTTTAAATATACTGTATTATTTTTATGATTATTGTTCCTAATGGCTTCTTACAACATGCCTGCATTTTTCTGATAATTTCCTGTAGTGGCTTATATAATGATGTTTTTATTGTTGCAATTATTATTTTTAATAATTATTTGAACCTCACATATCGACATCTCCTTTAAGCATCGTATTACTGAGAACAAGGCTTTTGTGGTATTGTCAGAAATTTTAATCTTCGAGGACAAAATCTACGTGGTGGTTTTTACCCTTTCTCTCTTGTTTTGAAGCTACCAGCCCCACATTATTCCCTCATATGATATAAAATGTGAATGACAAATCTTGGTATCTCTTTCTCAGTACAGATCCTGTTCTTATAGTTGGTTTTAACTGTTTTGCAACATTTGTGTTCAATATTTTTAATATTTGAAGTGTTATATAAATTTTGACCTGCCGCATATTTTAAATATATTTGCTGATTTCATTTCCACTTTTGTTGTTCTTTTGACCCAATGACAAACCTCCCTTTACCTGTAATCAGTCCACGGTTTTGCACAATTGATTCTGTTTGCTAAAATAAGGGGATTAGCTGGATTAGAAATAATCTATTCCTCCTTTAAAACTACTAATCCAGGTCAGAATTAGTTCCATTCCGTATTTTGGTTGTGTTAACTGAAGTGGACCCAATGTAAAAGCAAGACTCTCCAACTATGAGCAGTGTGGTTCATTTTTAGAAATTAAGAATTCCTTCAAAAATACTACCCTGTCTGAATCAGAAACTTCAGAATTTTTAAAGGCACTTTGTGTATATTTAGATCATCAGTTGAGCTATTATGAACCTCTACTAGGTTGTATAATGTCTGGAAGGGACTAGTAAGAAATCATATGAATGATGTTATACAATAGCACAATTTTAACGTTTGAAAATGTGATTATTTTCATTAAGTTATAATTTCAGGGTAGTATCTAAGAGTGTTTCTTCTTCACCTTAATTTCCCCTGCAATATATTGTCAATTAGTTATAAACACACTTATTTTTAAATGCAATTCAAAAGCCTCTAATGGAATCCTGTGGCAACATGAAGAATCCTTTTGTATCCACAGTACCGATGTGTCAGAAGCATTTATGGTTTTGTTTATGCACATGACAAAACTCCCAGACCTGAGTGGCTCAACTGGAAGTTATAGTTTAAATCATTCTGTTAGGAGTTCTGCTACCACTTGCATGTGTCAGTAATGAAAAATAATCAACATAAGCATCTTTGAAAAGCAATTTTAGGTCATTAAAGATGTATGAGTTTTGACAAAGCAAGAAGATTTCAGGCTTATTAAGAATATATTACGTCTCTGTGCTGAGTGAAGGGAGAGAGGTATTTATGCCTCCGTTCAAGAGGAAAGGTGTAGCCTAATTGTAACCTCATGAAAGATTAAATGGACAGGTAAACAGTAAAAGACTTCAGTCTTAATCCTGTTCCTACAGAGCTTTTGTGAGAAACAGAGCTGTTCAGGACAAATCCTGAAAAGAAACAGGATCTTAGAAGAGTCTCTGTTTCATAATTGACTACATATGCGATACATCACTGTCCCATCTGACATGTAGTCAAGGGCTACTGGGCAATCATTTTCTATAGAATTTACACGTCCCTTTTTCATGGTATTTTAAGTTTGCTCCATTGGCTCAAGGATTCTCAATTACTTTGCTTTTTTGCTTATTTATTAAACTTTAAAGTTTGATAGTATGTAAATACATAGATGACTTGAGACAGAGAGGGAAGCAGGATTTCGGTGAGTCCCTCTCTCAGGTTAAAGAAACAGAGCATTACAGCAGACATAAATGGTTCCTCCAGGCCTTCTGCATTGTCCTTTTAGGCCCTGAACTGTGCAACCATTACAAAACTACTTTGTTAAAAGCAAACCTTTAAAAAATTAGCATTATTTTCTATCCCCCCCCAAAAAAAATAGTTTATTTGTAGCTCTTATAGCTGTAAATCTCCCAACTTCTTTAGTAAAAAGAATTGATTCCACTTGTTCTATGTAGTTATTAAAGTAAAATCAAGAAGGATCAGGGTGGGTGAATTCCAGGTAATCTGTGAAAGGCAGTGTTAGTTTACCTGTACATTTGTCTTGAAAATGCTAAAGTGCTTCCTGGAATCATGACCACACTTCCTGAAACGTGAATATATTGCAGTTTTAGAAGATAATGAAGTGCATCTCTGTCGTGTGATGTGAGTCTTATGTCAGCTGCAGCTACTCGATTTGCATGTAAATTCTGAAAATTTCCTTGTCCCATGTGACACTTCTGAAATGTCTGTCTGTTCTTTTTTTCCTTTTTAATTTCTCAAGCTCACTATTTGGATAAGATAGTTAAAGGTACTGTATACTTGCTCTTTGTTGACATATCTACATATCTATATATAACCGTGTATCAGATTGTACTAGGTATGAAAATAGACTGTTTCTCATGCATATTTCTGTAAATTATAAATCAGGCTTACATTATGTGAAATGCCTTGGATTTAAAGTATTGAGACTTCAGTGTCCGTGTCTCATTTTTATAATTTTGGGTTATCACAGATTTCATTCCTATGTAAAAGCATTAGTTCTCACTGGAACCAAAAACTGAAGATAACAGAACATTTGCTGTTTTTTGTTTATGTTTTTATTCTTTCTTTCTTTTTTTCTTTCTTTTTTCTTTCTTTTTTTTTTTTTTTTTTTTGCCTTAAGATCTTCATTGTTGGCAATTCAGCGGATGAGCTTTAAATTCTATCTTGAAGGATCACAAATGCTCGCTGTCTTATCACAGAATAAGAAATTGTCAATCTAAAGAAGATTCTGGTTAATACATGTTGAGAGAAGTCTCATTTATCCTTACATGGAGACTTCTTTAAATGTTTCAAAATCTATGTGATCTCATAATTTTTGTTCTGTTATTTTCTGAAAAAATACAAAACTACTGTGCATTCCGTAAAACATAAATGATAACGTGGCTCAGCAGAAAACAGCAGATTCTTGCCTCTTCAGTTCTCGTAGAAAGAGGTGGAAAATATTTTTTCAGAAGATGAAATCCCCTCTCCCTTTCTCCTCAGATTGCCTATTTTCTATTCCTTGTTTGTGCTTCTCATTAGAATATGAAAATATTCATGGCAATATCCAGGCTTTCATATAATAATTCTTGTGTGCATGCAGTCACCTCTGCTGCACCTCTTCATCAGTGGAGCAATTAAATCTTTCTTTTCCTTTAAAAACAAAACAAAAACATCCGGAAGGAAAACTCACCTTTTCTGTATTGAAAATCCATAAATACAGATGGTAATCGTCTGAACGAAAAGCAGAAGTGAAATTAATCTTATCCTGACCTGATGCTATCCATAAGTATAATTTCATTTTACCCTGCCACAAGAGACTGTCAAAATACTCTTCTTTCTCTTAGCTCTAATCTTAAGAGACAGAACGTCTCTTTGAGATATTGTTACTTCAAGTTCCACAGTGGAGGAGGGGAAGCCAATATATGGATAATTCTTTTAAAATAACATAAAATAAATATCTTTAAACAGATTGTTCCCTTAAATTTTGTCACCAAAACAAGAGTAGCATTCTAATTACAAGAAGCTGGATAACAAACCCCAATTGCTCTAGCAAGCACTTTTTGCTAATATGTATTTCTCTGTCAAATTATAAATAATTCTGTCCAAAGAGATCTGATTAATAGCTAATTATTCTTAAAATTTTGGAGCATTTCTATCCTTGTTTCTGCCAGTATCACGTCACACTCATAGACAAGAACACCAAAGTCTACCTAAGTGTCATCCTCATAAACAGATCATGTTGGCTGCATGCCAGATATCATCAGTAGGAAGTGGCAAAAATTGTTTTTTTTTTAAATGTCATGTTAGACTGAAACAATTATAGATTTTGGATATATTAAATTATTTTAATTGTTTCCCAAATTTTCCCTCCTTGCCCATAAAAGCAGACAAGATAGGATATAAAGGTAACAGCATAAAAGCCTTAGGGAGATTGTCACCAAATATCACTCTTTGCTCTCTGTCTTGAAGCACGTCACTACCGTGTTTTTGTTCAGTCTATCAATGTTTTATCGTGGTCCTTATGGTATTTCATTTTGTCCGTCCTAAGTAATCAAATATGCACAGCTATTACATTTAGTTGGAAATCCTGTCGGTCCTGTCCCATCCGTATGCAGCCTGAATCCTGATGTTTGTTAGAATAGATGCTAAGCTGCTTCACTATTTCCTGGGCTTTGCTTATTCTGTGAAAAGGAATGTACTCTTGGCATAAAGTATAGTCATCGAGACTGGCCTATACTTTGTGCACTTACTTAAGGCACTGTAATTTCACATGAATGTACGGCAACTCTGAGGCCAGATAAAATTAATGTTCTCTTTTTAACATCGTTCACATCCTCATGCCCACTCTCATGCTTTTGAATTTAGAGAGAATTTTTTAAAGCAACAAGGTGCTTTCAGAAGGCACATCCTAATGAGCGACCACTAATGTCGACAACAGATTAAAAATCTCCACCAGGGATTCTGAAATTACCTTTTTCAGGATGCTTTTTCACACCATACAATCAACCTTGTTGCTTTGCTAAAGGGGAAAAAAAAATTTAAGTTAATTTTGTCTGGCCTGTGGCTAGTTAGTGGATCGTTGCATATATTTCTGTCCTGCACAGGTAAGTGGTGTCTCAAGGGTCAGGCCAATCAAAGATGCCACTTGGATAAGAATTAGATTCCTTAGAGATCGTTGCTGTTTCTATCCATGTGCAATTACAGTATTTGTGCTGTTTACAAAGGCCTGTTCCCACTAAGTGTCCCTTATCTGTTTATTTTAGGTGCAAAAACTTTCAATACTCAAATCACTTGTGTTTTCCTTCTTTGTCTCCTTTGACAGAGGGTTGCCCTGGTCTGTGCAACAGCAATGGAAGATGTACACTGGACCAAAACGGCTGGCATTGTGTTTGCCAGCCAGGGTGGCGAGGAGCAGGATGTGATGTAGCCATGGAGACTCTCTGCACAGATAGCAAGGACAATGAAGGAGGTAAGAGACGCCGAGCGTGAAAACACGTGTGTGCCAGAGTACGGGTTTATAAGTTACACAGTGTCCTAGTGCCAAAAAAACAATCTGATCCCCGTAGGTTAGATTGATTGAAAACTGTATGCGCGCTGATAGAGTGATTTTGCTCCCTATTTTCCCCGAAACAAATGCAAGACTATCATCATTCAGGGAAAAGGCAAGGTAACCACGCTACTGGGTAGTGTATGTCGTTCTCCATCGCTTTTCCTAACCTCCGGATAGATGACGATTCTCCTCATCACGGTATATGCAGCCCTGTGAATGGGTAGCTCTAAAGCAGTATTTTGATAACTAAATATTTCCGAAAGATGCAGGGCATTTCCCAAGCTCTTCTGATGAAAGGCAAGGATGGGGGGAAAAAAAAAAAGGAAAGAAAGAAAGCAGCCTCCTTGAAGCTGTACTCCCCAGTGTCCATTTATCCTAAACTTCACAACCTGCTAAAGGACTATGGTCTTCCATGTAGGCCCTTGGTTCAGGAGTAATTCTTTCCCCTGTTGTGCGCATTTTCACTTCAGAGGATCAAGAGTGAGAGCTGGTGATTACTTCTCCGGTGATGAAATGGGGGCCCCTGACAGCCGCTCAGTCTTGGCATACCTTTAGGATTGAGTTTTTTGTTTGTTTTTAAGGTTTTATTTATTTATTCATGAGAGATGGAGAAAGAGGCAGAGACACATAGGCAGAGGGAGAGGCAGGCTCCCTGTAGGGAGCCCGATGTGGGACTCGATCCGGGGACCCCGGGGTCATGGCCTGGGCCCAAGGCAGGCGCTCCACCGTGGAGCGCCCCCCCCTGGGCGCCCCTCCCCTAGGGATTTGTTTAGTTATTTGTTTATGAAATTTTATTTGAGAGAGAGACCAGGGGCAGAGGGAGAAGGAGACGCAGGCTCTGTGCGGGGCCCGATGCGGGACTCAATCCCAGGACCCCGGAGTCATGGCCTGGGCCCAAGGCAGGCGCTCCATCGCGGAGCCCCCCGGGGGCCCCTGGGACTGAGTCTTTGGAAGCAGCTCGGATCCCGTCTGGGCCCCTCCGGCCATCGGGGCTGTCATTAGGGGTGTTTGCCCGTCCTCCCCTTTGCACCTGCTCCTGGGCCATGCCCCCAAGAGCAGGACGGCGGAGGTGAAGACTGCAGGTCCTCACCCTGCCCCGTGCCGCTGTGACCTCGCAGTCGCTTCATCTGTGACACGGGCACAAAGGGAGAGGCTGGGTAAGGACGGAGCGCACCGCCCGGCCAGGAGCCTGCAGTAGGCTGCTGCTCCTCCGCCTTCCTTCAGCTTCCATCGAGGCTTGCCTGCAGTTCCCGGAGGCGGCCGGGAAGATGAACACCCTTTCCCTTCCCACGTGGAGGAGACCTCACTACTGTCCTCAGGGAAGCAGCGTGACAACCAACGTTGCCTCAACCTCTCTGCATCCACTGCCCCAATGCACATGTGCACACACACCCCACGAGCACATCCACTCCCCAAGGCACAAGCGCACACACACCCGCACTCCCCAAGGCACAAGCGCACACACACCCGCACTCCCCAAGGCACAAGCGCACACCCCCCCCATGAGCGCATCCACTCCCCAGTGCACAAGCGCACACACACCCGCACTCCCAAGGCACAAGCGCACACACACCCGCACTCCCAAGGCACAAGCGCACACACACCCGCACTCCCAAGGCACAAGCGCACACCCCCCATGAGCGCATCCACTCCCCAGTGCACAAGCGCACACACACCCGCACTCCCCAAGGCACAAGCGCACACACCCCCCATGAGCGCATCCACTCCCCAGTGCACAAGCGCACACGTAACACACATCCTACGAGGCGCGCGCGCACACCTCCTACACAGACTCGCACACGCATGCGCACTCGCGCTCCAGCCTGCACCTGCAGTCCTTTCTCCAACCAAATGTTTGGGTCTCCTCCTCTGGGCAACGCGCTGCCCTTCTTCACCTTTAGCTTCTAGCAAACTGTTCCATTTTCCTTTTTTTTTTTTTTTTTTAACCTGGGATGTCAAGAAACCTGAGCCACAGATTTGAGCCACAGCTGCTTTTCCTCTTGCTCCTGCTGGCTGCGGGGGTCCTCAGCCCCAGAGCCGCCGTGCGCCGGACTCCTTGGCCTCGACCCACCTTCACCCTGCGCTTTGTGGAAATGGCAGCGATAATCGTCCCGACTGCAGCCCAGATGGCAGCTCTCCTCGGTGCTGCCCCATTGTTTTCTATTGCCCAGGGAGGAAGGAGAGCTGCTTTCCCTTCTTGATCGTATATTCCAGATTTTGTCTTCTAAAAGGAGATTACATTGAGGAGGTTACAAACTCTTCTCAGAGGGAAGCGAACTGCAGGGCCAGGTCTGCAGAGACATGGCTGAGTAATTTAGGGTCTAATCAACTCTTTAGTGTTGTTATCAGCCAAGGAGGTTTTTTTCCCTTGCCTCAAAATTTATCAGCTGTGAATTGACCTGTTCCCCCTTTGTTTATTCTTATTAGCATGAAACTACGCTATCTCTAGGCTTCCCTCTCCAAGGGGAAATCTGAGCCGATAGAAGACCTCCTGTGGATTCTTTACTTATCTCCTATAATTTGTATTCCTGTCCCTAACCTAATTTTGTTGATCTTCTGAGAACGAATCTCAGTGCCAGCTTTATTATACCCTGAGATCATCACCGGGTGCCTTATAACCTAAGCCGGAGGGTTATTTGAACTTAAGCGTGGACTGTGTGAATAGAGACCATATTTTCCACATCAAACCCCAAATCAGGGCACATCATCTGGCCATTAAGGCGATCATTATTGTTATATGAGGTCAGTAGAGCCTAATGTTTAAAATAGGACAGTACCTGAGATTTCATGACATATGCTCGCTTGTGCTGATTGAGATCCATTGTTCAGAGTACGTTTGATGTCAAATGGCAAATTAGCCAGAAAGTAGCCGAGCAGTTTGATTTAACTTATTAAGTGGTGAAGGAGGAAGAACAAATGAAGAGGTTGATTTGGCCCTAACTAGCATGTCATAGACGTAGCCACTAGTCCAGACTGAGCAACATTGTACAATATGATCTTTTTTAAAGAAAATAGAAAAAAAATTAAAGAACAAAAAAGGCTGCTTACTATCCCCAGAACTGAAGAAGATACATTAAAAGATTTTAGAAGGGACAACACAGTTGGGGAAATAGTCATATTTATTTCTTAGACCAAGAATCTTCCTTCCCCTCTACTTTTTTTTGCCAAATCCATCTTGCTCCATCCCATGGTCTAAGACTCTAGATCCTCAAAATCTAAATCTCACTAAATCGCTGTTCCTCTTTGCCTGTGGGGCCCCACTTCTCCTCTGTGTCTCTAAAGTGTGTAAGAAAAGGCAGTCTTATGAGAGAATTCTTTAAGAGGCTCTTCTTTAAGAAACAGACTACCAGTAAAATGGATGGGAGGAATTTATCTGTAACCCCTCCCTCAACACCCGCACAGTCGTAAGAAATAAATGTTCTGTTCAGTTGAACCCTGTTCCTTTAGCCCTCAAATAAACACCTGTCCTGTACTCAGGATTACCAGCATTTCAGAAGTAAGGGCAGTCTTTTACCCACAGTAAAGGCCCTGACAAAGATCCCCAGTCTTTTTGGCATCAACCAGGTGCCTCCCCAAACCACTTCTCAAATCTAGCTCGGGGTGTCAAACGGAGGCTGTTGGAACAGATGATCTGGACAAAGGCAGGCAAAAGAATAGAAGATCTTTAAATCACACAGTGGAAGTGAGAAATGAATGGTCACTGGACCAGGTAATTGTGTTTAACATCTCCTAACAGAGTGTGTATAGACACTTTGGGAGCAACCACACTGTATCCTGCCCTAGTTGAGAAAGCTTTCAGAGCAAAGAATCAGCAGTGCATGCCTAGCCTTGGCTTATAAATATTTCTTCTTCAACTCTTTCTTCACCTACAAAGCCTCCCTCTGGGCTGAGCCACTTCCCATTCATATTCCAGAACAACATCTAACAGTGAAGTTACTAAGATCAGAGAAAAGCCAGGTAAAGAGCTGGGAACTGGTCACCACTAAGTGCAGGGTGATGGGGACTGGAGTGTCACACCGTGAGCATGTTCTGCCTCATTCTGTTAGCTACTTGAGCGTCTCCTTTAGTCAGCTTCTGAAAATGGCCCCATCTGTCTCACAGTGTGCTCTACCTCAGGCTTCTGCTACCCTTCCACGAGGATATCCCTGGTATTTGGTATTCTCACCAGGAAAAGACTCTTGGGTTGCACGTGATAGAAATTCCACTCAAAGGGTCTTAAGCTTTTAGAAAAGGAAAACTTATTAGCTTATATAACTGAAAAACTCAGAGATAGCAGCACCGAGGTGTTTAAACAATGGGAACAGTAACCTGGGTTAATTCATCTGTCAACTCTGCTTTATTCCACATTGGCCCCGTTCTCTGACGGTCTCTTCCTCAGAATGACCCCCAGCAGCGCTGGGTTTACATTGCACAGCATAATAACCCAGTGCAAGGAGACAGCCTTTATCAAATGGTTACATGAGGCCTGGGTCTGAGCCGGACCCTCATCGGCCTGAATTCTGTCCCCTGCCCAAAGAAAAATTGAGATTCTTTCACCAGAAGAAAGAGGTCGATGGATGCTGGATAGGCAGAAAAACAGATTCCACTCTAGGAATATTAATAGCTGCCCACAGCATTTAATTTTAGTGTAACCAGGGCATATACCCCTGTACTATTTCATATAGCTCATAGACTTCTGTACTCTCAGGAGGAACTCCTTTATTCTTTATCTTCTTTTCTCCCCAAGAATTATAGCCTTCTCACATGAGAACAAGAAAACCAGTGCTGAACCTCAATATGCTTTCCATGCCCCAGGTTGGCAAGGCCCTCTCCAGTTCTCCCTACATATTTTTTAATAAATTTATTTTTTATTGGTGTTCAATTTGCCAACATATAGAATAACACCCAGTGCTCATCCCATCAAGTGCCCCCCTCAGTGC